ATGCTTGTTGTCTACTTACTCAGTGCCAGCTTACATAGAAATTTCACTAGGGGCGCCTGAGTGGCACAGTCAGTTAAGCGTCCGACTTCAGCCAGGTCAAGATTTCGCGGTGAGTTCGAGCCCCGCGTCAGGCTCTGGGCTGATGGCTCAGAGCCTGGAGCCTGTTTCCGATTCTGTGTCTCCCTCTCTCTCTGCCCCTCCCCCGTTCATGCTCTGTCTCTCTCTGTCCCAAAAAGAAATAAACGTTGAAAAAAAAAATTTAAAAAAAAAGAAATTTCATTAAAGTTCACAACAATGCAATGAGACTGGTAATATTGGATATTAAATCAAGGTGATGAAATGAAAACTTAAAGGTGAGATAACTTGCCCTGAATTTTGAACGTGGTCGTCTTACTCCAAGTCCCGTATTAATGAACACACATACTGCCCCTCTCATGTCAGTGCTGCCCCCCAAAGTATGAGGAATGAGAAGCTTTCAGAGTAACAAAGCACCATCTAGGAAACTACATGACCTGAGAAGATACTCCTTTAGAAGGAGTTGATACTTGAAGAGAGGAAAATCCTCTTTAACTCCCTTATACCTCATGAAGCTTACCCTTGGCAAGAGAAATAAGGGTCATCTTTTCCTTTTAACATCAGCCCACCTGCAGTGTGAATATCTGAGAAGTGTCTGAACTTGTGTCTCAGAGGCGCACAACATAACTGAAGCTCATACTTGCAGTGGCCAAAAAACCTTATTTGTTATCATGCCTTTTCAGCCTACTGTATGGTACCCGGAATGTAGGGAATCTTCACAGAAATATTTCCAACATTCACCTAAGACTTAACTCTGGACAACTCACATAAGTTTTTAATCTCTAAAGTGGAATGGGACTTTAAACATTATTTTTATACTTGCACAATTTTTGGAGAAACTAGAAAGCCAGCACCAATTATACATTAGCTAAAGTACAAAAATATAAGAACTGATAAAGCACAGAAATGATAAGAATAAAGCATGAAATGATTAACCAATTTATTCAATGTCCTGCATTTGTTTTAAATATGTTTGCCTTGATGGCTTCAATTCCCCATACATATATTTTGGTATATAAATGCTCAACGGCATATTTGTATAACTTCCATATTGCTAGACTTGGAAATTTTCTCTTGTGCTTGCCTGCTCTACATAGGTTATTTATCATTTAACAAGGGTATTTGAGACTGTGGTTCTTTCATAACTTAATGTTTTCATTTATGTGTATATGGAAAGTTTTAAAAATCAAGCTGCTAGCACATGGACCAAGAAAACTTGTGAGAATGGAAATTTTCTCAATATTCATGATAATAAGTCTCTCCTATCATTTTCCTCAGGCTCTCCTCACTCCTGTGAACTTTTATTCTCTTTAATGAACCAGTCTATACCAGTAGGTTTATCCTCAGAGGTGACATTGTCATATGATAGAAGTCTCTGAATACTTACTTAAAGGACAGACTCCATTGCTGATATTTTCAAACTCCATGAAGTTTGGAATGTATGGTTCCTTATAACAGCTGCAACTCAAATTGTGTTCTGGGTTCTATAAAGAGAAAACAGTTCCAAAAACATAAAAATGAAAATAAAGATTTTCTGTGCCATTTTAAAAAATTATCAGCTCACTAATTCATTTTGCCATGAATACATTCAACAGTATGAACCAAGCACTTTTTAAGAACATGTCTTCCAAAAAAATAAAGAAAAGAACTTGTCTCCTAGAGATGTAAATAAAAAGATGACTAAAATGCAGTCTGTCTCTCAGAGAAGTCTAGAAGAAACCACACAGCAAGTACTACCATGGTGCTGAGTTCCATATCAGGAGTAGGCACGTGACCAGTAGGCGCACAAAGTCATAGAAGCCATAATCTTCCAACGGACAGCAGAATGAAAACCATCACGAAAGCCTTCAGAAAAGAGGGAAATGTTAAAAATGAGTTTTAGAAGGTAAAGATACATGGCACGGGGACTTTTGGTGTGGAGGAAACATGAGGTGTCCTGGCTTGGAGGATAAGGATGTGTGGCTCATGATTGGCACTCTGAGTGATTCAGAATGGCAGGCGATGAGTTTGAAGAGTTGGAGACCAAATCATGGAAGGCCATAGATTCCCTGCCAGAAGTTTGATATTATCCTCTGAGCAATGATTTGATACTGAATTTTATGTGTCACTATTTCTCTAGGGAACCTCAATTAATACAAATGGGAAACCACCGAAAGGTTACAACCAGAAATAATGTGATCGGTTTTACAGAGTGGAGAGTAATTTCAGTGATATGAATTTTATTCTTTTGTTAATTTTTTAAAAAGTGTGTGTGTGTGCGCGCGCATTTCGTATCTACTATGTATTAGGCACTAGGATGGCATTAAGGTTGCAAACATAAAAAAAAAGTAAACACAAACCTTGTCCCCCTAGCGAGTTAAAATACTTACAACATACATTTGTTAGAAGGGAGATCAAGTAAGAGATTATTGAAAAACCCCATCAAGATATAATTGGAACAGAAATGACAGGCTTGGGGAGCCTGGGTGGCTCAGTCAGTTGAGCATCTGACCCTTGATTCTGGCTGAGGTCATGATCTCACAGTCATTAGATGGAGCCCTGTGTCAATCCCTGTGCTGAACGTAAAGCCTGCTTGGGGTTCTCTCTCTCCCTCTCCCTCTACCCCTCCTCCACACATGCATGCTCTCTGTCTCTGTCTCTGTCTCTCTCTCTCTCTCTCTCTCTCTCAAAATAAATAAACTTCAAAAAATAAGAAATGACAGACTTGTTATAACACAGATTAGAGAGATATCACTAACAAGACGCTAGCAAAACAAATGAATATAGGGTAGGGGTGATTTAAGAGTGAAAAATAAATCAAAGATGATCCCCAGGTGTCTGTCTTGAGAATAGTGCAGAAATCACATTCACAGGAACATTAAGCAATTCATTTCAAAGAGCTAACCTATACCGTCCACAGATCTAGGTGCTTCACATAGATTATTCAATTAGTAAAGTAATCCTATGGAGTAGGTATTATTATCTCCTGCTTCTTCTGCAGATAAGGAGACTGAGAATGGGGAAGTTGGAATGTCTAAACTGACACATCTTGCATGTGGCAGAGCTGAATTCAAACTCAGGGCAGAAGCCAACCCATGTCCTTTCCCTGCAGCATGGTGACCACAGCGTGCTGCCTCTCACGCGGTTCTCGGATGAGCAAGCCAACAAAAAGATATAGAGCTTTAAAAAAAATGTAAGTTTTTACAACACCACACCTTCATCTGGACTGTCATGAGTCTGTAGTTCACCAAAGATAGTTTCTCTATTGGATTTCTCTGCCGATCGCCAAAGATAGTTCCTCTGTTCGATTTCTCTGCCATGTGAGTTTAGCATGATAAATTAACAATCTTTTGAAAGTCATAAACCAACACATACTTACTGATTGAGAGATTTATTGAAGTAGAGAGGTTTTCTCTTAATGAACTACTTATAAATCATTAACCCAACACTTCTTTCGCACCGTTTCAGCCACTGCAAAATGACATCCATTATGTATATTCACTGATTGGGTACATGTACTTGGTTCTGATTTACCCTGATAATCCTGTTCCAGAAATGATCTAGCTACATTTAACATAAAGGTGCTCTCACTATACTTTTGAACATTATCTTCAGGCATCGTAAAGATAGGCTGTGCCACTTTTTTTTTTTAAATTGCAGAAAAAGCTCTTCAATGCCAAATGATACCCAATATTTATGTAGCGCTTATGTGTCAAGTACCCTTATATGCACTTCATAGATGCTGCGCATCTATTCTTGATGATGGCCTTATGAGATTTTGATTATGATTATTATCTCCATCTTACGGGTGGAGAAACTGAGACATTAGGTAACATCGAGGTCACAGGATTAGAAAGCAGCAGAGCCAGAAGTAGAACCAGACTCCAGAATCAGCTCCTAACACTACATTGCCTCTGATCTAAAGGATCTCCATCTTTCAACACTCAGCCTTCCACTCCTAGGACAAGTTCTATTCTTTCTTAGGTAATAATAAAAAGCAAGAGTGGTGGAATTCTCCTAAGCCATAAAAAAAGGGTTGGGACTAGGTGAGAATTTTGAGTCACTACAGTCCACACAGTACAGATTTGAAAAGCCCTAATCACATTAATCATTTTCTTTCCCTTCCATATAAGTCCAGGAACTGACACCTGGACCTCATGTTCCACCTTCCACTCAGGAAGTAAAGCCAGGACTAAGTTCCCTGCTGCTACAGACGGGGCAGTGCAAGATCAGATAAAACTAATCAGTAACTAACCATGGCTGTGAAGAGAAAGGTAACAGGGCTCAAAATACACATCCCAGGAATCAGAGACCTTGCCAATAATTTACCTGCCACATCATTAATAGGGACTTTGCACTTTTTATTGCAAGATTGAGACAGCATGGATAGAAGAAAAAGCAAACATTTTAGATTTAGACAAGCTTCGAGTTCGGGTGTGGCCCTGCCATTTGCTTGGTGAGTGACACCAAAGAACACATTTCATCTCCCAAGTCTCTGTTTTCTCATTTGCAAAAAGGAGACTAAAACAATTTTATTATGTTATAAGAGATTTAACTATGTAAATTGTAAAAGCACTTCTTAAAGACGAGATATTATCATTAGAGCTAAACAACCAGAGTTGATTATCCTTGGTGGTTATGCACATGATCCGACTGGCCACCATTCTGAATATGTACTACTGGGTCAAAACATCTTTTCTATTGGGGTAGGCCATATTTTATTAGTATTTACATGCAAAGCAATACCTTTTAAATATACCTGTGTATATATATATATTCTTTAAAAAATGTTTGTTTGTATTCTGCTTTCCAAAATACTGTATTTGGATATTTGGCTTCTCCCTTTCATATCTCTCCTTAGTATCTTGACCATATTAATGATACCTAGTGAAATCTTTTTCTGGGAAATATGAAAAATATGGATACTGGTAAAGAGCAGATACAGAATGAGAGGAATGTTTTTAGTGGGAAATTTTTCACAAATAGCTTGTTTGTAACAAAAGGGTTTAAATCATTTTTCCCTAGCCATTTTTTATTTGGTATCAGAGGGGTGTGTGTGTGTGTGTGTGTGTGTGTGCTTGGAAAAACTATGATCTTGAAACCTCTTTCCTTAATTACCTTATGAAAATTATAATTACTGAATATTACATAAGAAAATAATAATGAGAAAAAGAATCTATGTATTATCTTTTTTCCAAAGAGAAGATAAAATCTATTTAAAAAAAAAGATTTATGTAAGTCTTACACTAGAAACTGAGTCTATAATTCAGCAAGTAATTATTTTTTTGGTTTTGTTTAAGGAAGAAGGAAATTATTGCAATTATAACTTTCAAGCTTCTATTTCTTCTGAAGAACATATTTTTTAATGGCAAAGGCCCAGCATCCTGAAAAAAGATTTTATTTGTTTCAGAGAAAATAATTTCCAGGTAAAATCCAGATACAGGTGACAACCTTAGTAAAAAATTATTTCGAACTAACCTCTTCTAAGGAATTTGGGACCAAATAACAGCTCTGACTAGAGAATAAAATGATCTGGAAGGAGACACAGCAAGTTCAAGAAAATACCTACCTTGAGAAACAAGCCGAAAAGTGAGTTAAGTTCAGATGTGCTGGTTAAACTTCACCTGTAATGGAGAAATTTCAAGGCCTATATTGATTCAATGACTACAAGGTTTTTGCCTTCATTAATTAGATAACTCATAACTTCATTTATGCTGTGCCCCTAGTATTTTTGGAAATCATTCAGATACAAAGCCCGTGTGAGAACAGATAATGATCATGCATACGAATAACTATATTTTTAATATCAGCACCAAAATAAGTGTAGACAATTTTTAGCACTTTCATTCTAATGTGAAATATAGGCTTTGCATTTCTTCCATATCTAAAAATGTGACCTATTTCTCATGTACTTTCCAAGTGAGAAAAGAGACAATTATGGAAGTAATTGAAAGACATTTGAAATGTAACATCAGTTTTTTAAAAAGCATAATATAAAACTTTCATAGAATTGGTTATATCCCTTGATTGAGAGATGCTCATTTTCTTTAAGGTTTTTTTAACAGAATGCATGGTGTCACGAAATGAGATGCCATTGCATTTAATACCGTAACAATATCTGAAAGACAAACTCAAAGACATAGTACTCTCCTTCACCATAAATGTAGCTGAAAAAAAAAAAAAAAGTTCAATGGAGAACACATTGTACTACTGGTATAGTCATGTGATACAGTGATGCAGGCTTTGATGATGACTAAACACTAATATGACATCTGCAGATGATTCTTTGGGTCCTGAAGTCTACCCAGTAACTGCACTGACTGTGTAGTGAGAGTGTCCTCTGTTAAAGCTATCCATCTTCTGCTCAGAAGCTTTTATTAATAAATGTGAACTTAGATCCAACACTGATGGCTTTCTAAATTTGGAGACTGGATACAGAATTACAGAATGGTAATTAAAAATTTATGTGCATTTTAAGAAATCCAATTCAATAGCAAATTCTTTTGGAATTATCCCTTTCGTATTAGAAGGATTTTTATTTAAAAAAAAATTTTTGGCATCTATTGCCTCTTATATTTATTACATCAATTAATCTAAAGACACTTACAAACTCTTTCAAATAGCACTAAAAATATTCCATAAGTTATATTTTGGTTAAAATTGGATCTCTGGATCTGGGAGAAAACTAACATTAGGTATAGGGGTAAAAAATCCTTAGGATATAAGGTTTTGTTTACTAGAGAGCCACAGTTAGCTCTCTTCAACATTTTGTTGATGTTTGAAGGTAGCCTCTAATAAAGGATATTAAATTATGTAATTGTGAAGTAGTCACGATTATTCTCTGGGGCAGCGAAAGGCAGCTCAACGTACCACCCCGAAAGATGCCACTTTGCCATATTGATTATTTTGAGCTGTAGGCACTTGAAAAACAGCAAAGGCAGGAGAGGCTTTCTCTGAACTCCATTTATCTGTCTAAAGACACATTCTCAAAAGGTACTCAGTGGTCCCCAAATCTACCCAGAAATTTCATCAACCAGAAAGAATTGACTCTTACCACAAGAGAGAAGCCTGGAAGTCCATTCGACACCCAGAAAACTTTCATAAACTCTCATACCCCCTGTGTATTTTACTGAGGGCACATTCATCTTTCCAAAAATCATTTATTCTCCCTTAAAAGGCCTATACTCCTCCCATTTCCCTACTAAGATAGTATTTAAGCCTGAATCCTATGAGTTACTCACTTTTTCCTGGGCATCTCTCATGTATATGTGACTTTATGTGTTAATAAATTTATTTTTCCCTTGTTGGTCTGGCTTTTACCATAGGGACCTCAGCTAAGAACTCAGAAAGGTGGGGGGTGGGGGGAATTATTTTTTCTCCCCTACAGCAGGATACCAGAAAAGTTATAAATATTAAGCAATAATATCACTTATATTGACTGAGGTGTAGGCTCTATATGACACAGCCTCTAAAAATTTCATTTCCGGTACTGTGTGGAAATGGAATGGGAGAGAAGTCCTTTGATATGAAATCCACACATGTCTTCATGAAAGAACTTTCCCCTATTTACAAGTAGATTTCTGCAAACCTGCCCCAAATGGCAACTACTTAAATTAAAATATAATTATGCTTGGTTTCTTGAAGTCCAATAAAGGGTTAGCACATACTATGTTTTCTCTTTTTTGAAATAATTCAATAGCACACCGGGATAACTTTTTAATTTATTTCATTATAATAGTAAAATCCTCATAGTAAAAATCTCAAACTGTTCAGAGGGTAAAAAACAAAAAAAAAAAAAAAAAAAAAAAAAAAAAAAAGTCCCTTTTACCCAAAACAACCCTGCAGTTTTATCCCACAGAGGTAAGCACTGTTTACAGTTTCCTGTGCATCTTTGCAAAATTCTTACAATTTGCATTAATTTTTAAGTCTTCCCCAAAGGGTAGAATGATCTCAATTTGGACAAAAATAAAAAGAAATAAGTAATGAATATGATGAAATTAATGCATCAATTGAGAACTTTCTCAGGTAGAAGCTTTTGACTTTTTTGTGCATGGATACAGGCTATGTGTGCAATCATATAGTAATGATGTAACTATCACAAATGGTCTAAACTTACTCAAAAGGAAAACTTACTAGTTACCAGAATATTACTATTTATCACATAGAAAATCTCCTAAATTGGAAAAATAAAAAAAAAAAAAAACATTTTAAATATCAAGTTTTGAATGTTTTACATAAAAATTTTCATTCTACACTCTACTAAGGTGGGAAAAGCAATTAACAATTGTTTGGGGATTGGAAAAACACCTTGGCTGTTTTAACGCAATTTGTGGAAATCTTGTGTGTTTTGTGGTTACATGTTTGCCCACTCCAGCCATCTGCAGCACCATTTTAAAAACCTGGTAACAAATGTCATTATTAATTCCAAAACACAGTCTCCAAATAGGCCAAAGATTTCTGGAGAGCAAAACAAGTGGCACAGACATTAGGAAATCTCTTCAGTGACACGAATGAAAAATTCAAAAGAAAATATTTTTTATCCTAATGAGGGAAGAGAAGGGAATGTACGGTAAAAAAGAATTATGAGAACAAAATGGGCAGGATTCCAATTCACTTAGTTATATCCAATTTATCTTCGTTTGCAATGCATGTTAATTTCAAACAGTTCCTCATACTGAAACTAAGGATTTCTCAGTTACTAATAAGTAAGCCCCACAAATGCACAACTAATAAAATAGTTGTTAATAGGTATTTATTAACTTTCTATATATGGAAATGGAATCACCTGAAAATAAAGACAAAATGATAAATGATCAACAATGGTAAAATAGTTTAATAAACCTGGTCACCTGCTAAAATTTTTTTTCCACCAATTTTACCAGGATAAGAAATCTTAGGAAAGAATGTGTAGCTCTGGGAAGAGGTCTTTCCCTATCTTGACCTCTAGGTTTTCTGCAGGAAACACATTTATGACTTTTCTTCTGTTGACCTTACAGGAAACATGTAAACGTATATATGTCCATCTCTCCTATTCTTTCATTCCAGAAAATCACTGGGAACCACCAGGGGCTGTTTGGTTGGGTGCATACCTACCTGAGCCTTGAGAATACATCTGGTCCTTAGTAAACCTCATCTGGACAGAAAAAACAAAACATGCCTTAAAAACAAAACTCAGATGTGGAAAAATAAGGTTATCCAAATCTTGTTTGCCTTTGACTTCAAAGGACTCCTATATGGGATAAACTTTGAGGAATATGAAAAGAGAAGATTTGGCTCAAAGAACAGAAGGATCAAATCAAAGTACAAAGTTGTGAGAAAGAGCCCGAAAAACATTTTACTGTGGTTGGAGCCATTGGCCGTGCACTTTGAACAAAACCAAGTTCACACAGAGTAGTGAACTTAGTGAAGAAGTGAGTGATGCTAATGATGGCATTTTAATTGTTATAATTGAATAATATAACTTACTTAAGCTTGAAGAATTTTTTTTCTTTTTATCCAAAGCCAAAGTAAACTGACATATATTATTGAATACTGCAAGTTTTTATTTACCATTAATTCTGAATGTGGAGATTAATTAATTACTCAAGTACACTTGGGGTAAAAAAAAATCACTATAGTACTTACTTGAATTTCTAAAAATCAACATTTTACATATAAATAAGGGTAGTCTACCCTAACTGTATTGTATATCTACTTAAAGATGTCATGTACTTACTACTCTAGTAATGCTATTATCATTCAAATATGTTTTCTAAACTCTCTTACAATAAAATGTTAAGCCCTTGAGGAAAATTACCTCTAAGCTTCCATAGGATGTTTAATGTTTTCTTCTGGCCACAAAATAATATATCCCTCGTGTGAAATTTTTTGAAGAAATTTTAAAAAGAAATATAAAAATAAAATTATTCATGATTTCTTTGCCACATTAACCTTTTAATGTATATTCTTCCAGAACGCTCCTATGAACTTGTTAGACGGAGATATTTTACATAATAGTATCATTCTATATATGCTTCATTTTCCTTAATATATAGTACATGTTATATATGATATATAACATATATGTAATGTATATATCCTATACAATACATACATATATACAGTTAGTAATGTGGTTATATATATTACTAAAACTTATTTATTTTTTTTTAAACTTTCTAAGTCAGTAAACATGCCTCATTAAATTCTTTATTAGTAATGTTTTATTAAATGGATCTAACACAAACTTTTTAACACTTTTTTCCAAACTACTTTCTGAAAGTGTTCCAAGATGTTCTAAATTACAAGAAGGGAGAAGAGAGTCATGTGGATCAAACAAAGTGGAAACCGTTGTAAAAGTTTTAATTGCAGGACTTCTCAGAGGGTTCAGTATGCTAATTCGAATCATGAACTTTCAAATGTGGAATATTTTATTATGCATTTACAAAACAAAATAAGCCACTGGAGTTTTTATTTGATAAAATCTTATTAATATTCTGATTTAATCATCCCCTATCTTTGGGCTTTTAGGCTGTTTTAAGTTTATTAACCATTCTTAATAATGCTTTGGTAAACATTTTCAGAATTCATCTTTGAGCATGTTTCTGATTATTTCCTTCAAATAAGCGTTTAGATATAGGATTGCCTGGCTTATTCACAGATTTAATGATTTGATACATATCACCAAATTGCACACAAAAATATATCAAATTACATACAGCACTTTCTGAGGCTATTTTCCCATAATTTAACCAATACCTGTTATTATCATTCTTTACATTAACTTTTATTTTTTCCTTCCCTGATTGATTATCCACCTTAGTCAAAAGTCTTACTTCTAAATGGCATTTGGTAATCTCTCACACAATAAACCACATCAACCTGAGGATATAGATAGAGTAGAAGAAAAACTTAATCTGTGGAGTTTCACAAACTGCCATCCCTCTTGGCCTGTCTCATCTCTCATCACCACCACTGGTGGCCTGTTTCGTAAATTTAATTTTTATGTTACAGCAGGAAAGCCACACATGAAGCCACACCTGCCTAACTTAATCTAGGTGAACAGAATCATGGCACCACATTGCAAAAATTAAAATTAAAATGCATGTATTAAAGGTTTTAAATCTCCCAACCACTACCTGATCATTGTACCTGCTCTACAAATATAGTGTTAGAACTAATAGATAGTCTAATAGGAAACCTCAAGGAAGAAGATAACTCTCCAACCAAGAATTTCCAATCATTCAGGGAAAGCCAGTACTATGAAAGAAAGAGAAGCAATAAACTAAGAGTGGGGAAATTTGGTCTAATAAAACATCAGTAATAGAATACTGAAAAATAAGAGTTTTTAATTTTGAAATAGTTACTAAATCTTAAAAAGAAAAACAGTGGAAAAGATAAACAAAAATAAAATCTGATATTGCCACTAGTTTTATTAAACTGACCAGAGAAAAATTAATCCTTACCTGATACAATTTTCCAAATTATAGAAAAACAGAAAAAGTCACCCAAAACTTCATTTATGAGGCTTTCCTACACTGGACCCAAAATCACATAAGGACTGCATAAGAGAAGAATGTTTCGAACAACAGATTCAAAAATCCTGAATAAAATATTAGCAAACTGAATACAATAACATACAAATTACTATATCATCACTGTTTAGAGTCTATTCTAAAAAAAAAAAAAAGAAAAAATGGTTTATTTAGTATGAGAAAATGTGTTACTGTAATATCTACATTAAAATTTAGAGAATAAATTGTTTTTATCATAGAAGTTGGGGTGGAATAAAAGAATTCAATATACTTAGATGTCCCTTCATACAAAACGAGAAAATATCTTAGCAAACCAGGAATAAAGAGAAATATACTTTTATATATACATGTATATATACGTATATATACATATATACGTATATATACATGTATATATATACACATACATATGTATATACACATACTTTTATATATATATAATTTATTGTCAGATTGGTTTCCCTACAACACCCAGTGCTCATCCCAACAGGTGCCCTCCTCAATGCCCATCACCCACTTTCCCCTCCCCCCCCACCCCCATCAACCCTCAGTTTGTTCTCAGTATTTAAGAGTTTCTTATGGTTTGCCTCCTTCCCTCTCTGTAACTTTTTTTTCCCCTTCCCCTCCCCACTGGGCTTCTGTTAAGTTTCTCAGGATTCACATGAGTGAAAACATATGGGATCTGCCTTTCCCTGCTTGACTTATTTCACTTAGCATAATACTCTCCAGTTCAATCCATGTTGCTACAAATGGCCATATTTCATTCTTTCTCATTGCCAAGTAGTATTCCATTGTGTATATAAACCACAATTTCATTATTCATTCATTAGTTGATGGACATTTAGGCTTTTTCCATAATTTGGCTATTGTTGAAAGTGCTGCTATAAACATTGGGGTACAATTGCCCCTATGTATCAGCACTCCTGTATCCCTTGGGATAGAATAGAATAGGGACTCTAGAATTGGACCCACAAATGTATGGCCAACTAATCTTTGACAAAGCAGGAAAGAATATCCAATGGAAAAAGACCGTCTCTTTAACAAAGGGTGCTGGGAGAACTGAACAGCAACATGCAGAAGAATGAAACTAGACCACTTTCTCACACCATTCACAAAAATAAACTCCAAATGGATGAAGGACCTGAATGTGAGACAAGAAACCATCAAAACCCTAGAGGAGAAAGCAGGAAAAAACCTCTCTGACCTCAGCTGCAGCAACTTCTTACTCGACACATCTCCAAAGGCAAGGGAATTAAAAGCAAAAATGAACTATTGGGACTCCATCAAGATAAAAAGCTTCTGCACTGCAAAGGACACAATCAACAAAACGAAAAGAGGAATATCCTACTGTATTTAAAACACTATAGTGTTTAGCAAATACCATAGACAACAGTGGGATAGCAAAAAAATTTTGCTTAATCTCAAGAGCAACACAAATTTGTCACCACTCACAAATTTTTAAAACACTAAGAATAGCTAAGAGTGAAGGGGACCCAACACCCTCATATACATTCTCTGTAACACAGCCACCTGGAGGGGCATCTGCAGTGTCTGTTAAAATAAGAACTTGTGCTCACTGTATGATGAACAACTCTTTGTATGTGTACGTGTACACGTACCAACAAAGTCACATAAGAACAAAAAGGCCCGGAAATAGGTGAAGGGCATTAAGAGTACACTTATCTTGTTGAGCACCGAGTAATACATAGAACTGTTGAATCACTATATTGTACACCTGAAACTAATATAACGCTCTATGTTAACTGAAATTAAAATTTTAAAAATACAATTATAAAAAAAAGAACAAAAAGGCCCATATGGGATGTAAACTACAGCACTGTGTACAATTGCTAAGAATTAGAAATAATCTATACTGCAAAGCTAGAGTAATCAAAACAGCATAAGGCACATAAATCAATAGAATAGAATAGAGAGCCCAGAAATAAACCTACACATATGCAGTCAATTAATTTACAGTAAAGAATGCAAGAACATACAATGGGAAAAAGCCTCTTCAGTAAATGCTGTTAGGGAAACACGACAGCCACATGCAAAACAATGAAACTGGACCACTATCTTACACCATATATGGAAATACATTTAATATGGATAAAGACTTGAATGTAAGATGTGAAACCATAAAGCTTCCAGAAGAAAACAGTAGCAGTCAACTCATTGATATTGTATTATTTACAATAGCTGACATACGATAGTAAACTAAGTGTCCATTGATAAATGAATGGATGAAGAAGTGGTGATGCACACACACACACACACACACACACACACAATGGAATATTACTCAGCCATAAAACGAAGCCATCTGCTACAACATGGATGAACCTAGAAGGTATTATGCTAGGTGAAATAACTCAGAGAAAGACAAATACTATATATGTGGAATCTAAAAAAAAAATAGAAACAGACTCATAAATACAAGAAATTGTTGGTGAGCAGGAGGGGAAAGGTTGAGGGGACAGGTGAAATAGGTGAAGGGGATTAAGAGGTACAAACTTCCAGTTATAAAATAAATAAGTCACAGGGAACAGAGTCAATAATATTGTAAAACTTCATAT